TGCCTGGACGCGCGTGCCGCCGCTGCGGGTCACCGCGGGGGTGCCCTTCAACCTAGAGATGTTCAACACAATGATGGCAGTGGTTGCACTCCAGCCGCTTGCCACTACCCTTCAGAAGCGTGCATGTACCTCCCTGGTGCGCACATTTACAGGCCTGCGCTTCCTGGACGAGACGGCGGTGGAGCGGCGGTGGAGGTGGAGCGCCTGCAGAAGGGGACCTCCGACAGGGACGCCGCCGTTGCGGCGCTCACCAACCAGCTGGCGCAGGAGCGCGAGAAGCTTGAGGCGCTCGGGCTGCCCGCAGACGCGCCCAGCGACAAGGACGCTGAGCGGGGTCCGTGTGCGGCCTTGGAAGCCGTCGGGGCTACCTGCCGCACGTAATTACGGCTGCAGACTCACGAGGGCCCGGCTCCAGCACCCGAAACGGGGTGGACATACTGCCTGCTCTACGCCATCGCCTCTCCCAGACCCCCACACTGCTGCTGCAGAACCATCAGAGTGGGTAAATCGATGCTGCACCGGCCTGCGGTGTGTGTGGGGGGGAGAAAACGCGAAAAGAAAGCGGCCCACTTGCATTTGTCGCCCAGGGTTTCGTGTGTCTGCGGGGAAGTGTAGCGCTCGTTGGATACGTTGATCAACAGCAGGTGCCCCCTTGCAGGCCGCCACAGGCTGTTGAAAGCTGCTTATGTCCGCCCCGATCGCCGCAACTCGTTGGTCGGCCTCTTCCCTGGTGCACAGGCCCTCCCAGGCCACCAGGCCCCGATCTAGGGCTTCCCCCCGCTCCAGCCGTCCCGTCGTTGCGGGTGCAGGGCGGCACCGCCGCATGAGCGGCAGCGGCGGCGTCACGCCCGCGTCCCGGCGCCACGACGCTGCCGAGCTCCTGCCCCTCTTCTCCCAGCCCACATCCGGCAGCGCCAGCCCCTCGGGCATGGGAACCTTGAAGCACCGCGCAGGCGGCAGCTTGGGCGATATCCTGGTGCCCAGCGCAGCGGGCGACGATGCCAGCAAGGCGCCGGGAGCGGGCGCCGCCGTGACGCCCTCCCCGCTGGCGCCGGCCGTCGTGCTGTGCGTGGCGGTGGCCAGCATGGGCGCCTTCTGCTTCGGCTACCACCTGGGCGTGGTCAACGGCCCGCTGGAAGTGATGTCGCAGCAGCTGGGCTTTGGAGGGGACGCTTTCCTGCAAGGCCTGGTGAGTGGAAGCGGCTTCCACAACCCCGACCCGCCCGCCCGCCTGCACGCCCACATCGTGCCGCCACACAGCCGCTTTCCTGCCTTCAGCCTGTCCGGGCCCTGCTCGCTGCCCTCCCTTCCCACCTGAGATGTCCTGCCTTCCCACCTCCTCCCGCTGTCTGCCCGCAGGTCGTGAGCACCTGCCTGCTGGGTGCAGCGGTGGGCAGCCTGCTGGGCTCGGGGCTGGCCGACTCGCTGGGCCGGCGCAAGGCGTTCCTGCTGGACGCGGTGCCGCTGCTGGTGGGGCCGCTGCTGAGCGCCACCGCCACCGGATTGACCGCCATGCTGGCGGGCCGGGTCATCACCGGCGTCGGCATCGGCCTCTCCTCGGCCCTCGTGCCGCTCTACGTCTCAGAGGTGCCCTCACCGCCCTTCCCTTCTCTCGCCGCCCTGCGCTGCCGTCGCCTGTTTCGCATCGCTGCCCTGTGCCGCATGCTGCCTTTCCGTTTGTGCAGAGGCAGCGCACAAAGTACGCAGCCCCCTGCCTGCCCGCTGTTCTCACCCGCCCGTGAGCTGCCGCCCCGCCTGCTCACCTATCTCACCTGTGCCTGCTTACCTGCCTGGCCGCCGGCCGGTGTGCCCGCCTGCAGATCTCCCCCACCGCGCTGCGCGGCACCCTGGGCTCTATCAATCAGCTCATGATCTGCATCGGCATCCTGGCAGCCCTGCTGGTCAACGTGGCCCTCTCGGCAGCCCAGTGGCGCACCATGTTTGCAATGTCCGCGGCCCCGGCCGCGCTGCTGGCCCTGGGTGAGCGATGCGGGCGCCAGCAGGGGCGGCGGTTAAGCTGCTGCCGCGGCGCAGCCGTGGCGGCACGGCGTGGATGCAGTCCTCGCGCGACGCATCTGCCGCCACGCAAGCCTCCACTGCAACCCCTTTTCCCCACCGTGATGCTGTGAGCGTCGCAGGCATGCTGGTGTGCCCCGAGTCTCCCGCCTGGCTGGTGCTCAAGGGGCTGCGCCGGGAGGCGACGGCGGTGGCGGAGAAGCTGTGGGGCGCCGAGGCGCTCATCCAGCTTGGCTCGGGTGAGTGCATGCATCATTCCCTAGGCAGGCATGCTCCTGCAGCCTGCTGGGGCCTGCAGGGGACTGGCGGCACCGCCCGGGGACGCGCTGAACGTCTCCCTGCGGCGGCGCCTGCCTAGGCCCTTGCTTGGCTGTGTGCAGCCGGGCCCGCACCTGGCACAGCCATCACGCCGCTCTTGCTGACCAAGTATGAGCTATGCCACGCTGCCCTTCCCTTGCCCGCCGGGCGGTGCAGCCAAGGGCGAGGGCGAGGGCGGCGGCGGCGAGGCGTCCTGGGGCGAGGTGCTGACCAGCCGGGCCACCATCGTCGGCATGCTGCTCTTCCTCTTCCAGCAGTTCTCGGGCATCAACGCCATCGTCTACTTCTCCTCCTCGGGTGCGGCAGCAGTGTGTGTGGGTTCACAGAGTGCAGTGGCTGTGGCTGTGCTGCATGTGCATGTGTGTGGCTGTCTGCATGTGCATGTGCATGTGCTTGGCTGTGGCTGCGCTGCATGTGCTTGGCTGTGCTGCATGTGCTTGGCTGTGCTGCATGTGCATGTGTGTGGCTGTGCTGCGCGTGTGTGATGATGGCGAGGGTTGGCTGGCAAGGCTTGGGCAATGTCCTACGGGGCCGTGTGGCACCGCGTGCAAGTTTTTTGCGTGCGCTCCTCCGTCTCGACACTGCCTCGATCGTGGTGCCTCCAACGCAGTGTTTGAGAAGGCAGGCATCCAGTCTGGCGCCCTGGCCAGCGCGGCGGTGGGCGCCACCAATGTGCTGGGCACTGTGGTGGCGGCGGGGCTCATGGACAAGGCCGGCAGGAAGTGAGTGCGGGTGTGGGAACCTTCCAGCGTGGTGCGGGCAGGCAGGCTGCAGGGCTGGCAGGCTTCATGCTGCGTGTGCGCCGAGCGGTTTGGGCAGCTGGGGGGCATGCTGTTGTGTCCTGACGGGGCCCGCTGCCTGCCTGCCCCGGCTGGCCCGCCTTGCCCGTCCGCAGGCAGCTGATGGGGCTGAGCTTTGCGGGCATGGGGCTCAGCATGCTCGTCATGGCGGCGGGGCTGGCGCTTCCTTTCCTCAGCGGTGAGAAGAAAGAATCAGGGGCGAGGGCAAGGGCTGGCATCATGTGCCTTGCTATCACTCGATCATCTGACAGCCTCTGCATGGCCCGTTGCACACTCCCCGGTCCTGCTGCTGCTGCACAGCTGCTCCTCTGCACGCGCCGGGATTGGCCGCGCGCCGCCGACCCCGCTGCTCCGCCGTGTGCCCATTGGCGCATGTGCTGGTGCTGGTGCTGCAGGCCTGACAGGCCCCATGGCCCTGGTGGGCACGCTGGCCTACATCCTTTCCTTTGCTATGGGAGCGGGGCCCGTGCCCGGCCTGCTGGTGCCTGAGATCACGGCGGCGCGAATCCGCGGTGGGTGCCTGCCCGCCTTCTCACCGGGAGAGCCCGCCCTATGCTGCCCTTTGCCGTCGAGAGGGCTGCGTTGATGGGGCTTTGGTGCGAGGGCAAGGGCTCGTCCATCTGCCCCCGACTCCTCCTCGCCGCTGCCTCTGCTGTTCGAGACCCCGCCCTCCGTGCCGCACCCTGCCGGTTTTCCTGCAGGCCGCGCCGTCTCCCTGGCCATGGTCTCCCACTGGGTCTGCAACTTTGCCATCGGCCAGCTCTTCCTGTCCGCCGTCTCCGCGTTTGGCGTGCCGGCAGTGTACCTCTTCTTCGCCGCCGTCTGCTTCGCATGCGTGGCGTTTGTGTCCAAGGCGGTGGTGGAGACCAAGGGGCGCAGCCTGGAGGAGATCGAGCTGGCCATGACCATCGTCTGAGAGGAGCGCCAGGTCGCACCACAGCCGGCCGGCGGCGGCCGGCGCCGGCAGCACAACGTCGAGGCGGGCGCCGGCTGCTGCCTTTGCATTGCGATCCCTGCCCAATTCTGCACTGCCACCCTGCCGTTTTTGTTTGTCTTCTCCCGCGCTGGGTCCGCCCGGCGCCCCCCAAAGGCACGACGCACCCGCTTGTTTCTGTGAGCCAGGCAATTGTGTGCCGGCGACGTGTTGTCACTTCCAGTGCATGCCAGCCCAAGCCTTTCTGTTCATCGAGTGTGAGATCAGAGTGCCAGCAATGCAATGGGGGATGCCACTCACGTGGCTGCCGCCGCAACTTGGCTCAGCAGGCATGCCGCCACCGCTGCCGCTACAGCACCGGGATGCCGCGGTCCTCGGGCTGGCTGTGCTTGTAGAATTCCCGCATGGATAGCGGCGCCAGCTGCTGCTCGGCCGCCAGGGCTATGTATTGGCTATACTGCTCCTGCATAACGGTGGGCGAAGGCAGGGACGCGCCAGGCGCAGCGCGGCGGCAGGTGGGTAGGTGGTATGATACGGCAGGTGGTGACAGCTGCTGTACCGCCGCCATTGGTGTGCTCTCTGTCCGGTTTCTCCACGCTGCGTGCTTGCCTGCACCCGGGGGTAGTGCTTCACGATCTCCTCGCTGCAGGGCGTGCCCTGGCCCAGGTGCTGCGTGATGGCGGCAGCCAGGTCTGCCGCTGCTGGCTGCAGCGCGGTGGCGGGCCCTGGGCTCGGCGCCCGGGAGGCCCCTGGCGTTGTCTGCCGTGACATGTCTTCCGTTTCCACAAGCTGCTCGCTCTCTAGCTCCATGAAGTAATCCCTCTCCTCTTTGGTCAGCAGCGATTTGAGCTGCTGCTGCTGCTGCTGCTGCCGCGCGGCAAACGGCGGCACATACGGCCGTGGCGGCGAGAAGCCCGGCTGCGTCGGCGCGATTGACACCAGTTGCGTGGCGCTAGCGCAGACGTCCTGCAGCAATCGATGAATGTATGAGACGCGTCTAGGAATGGCGATCGCTCGTCTCTGAAACAAGCAGGCAAACGAGCGAAACTCGCCTGTGCCGAGCTCCTCCTGCGCTTGAAGGTGACCTCGATGTTTCCAGACTTGCGCCGATCCATTGCGATCAGGCAGAGGAACCGAGGAACCGCGGCCGGCCTTTGGGCTGCCCCTTCAAACACCCGACCGCCGCAGCAGGCTCAGCAGGCGGTGCTGGTGATGCGGTGCGGCCTTGCATTGACTGCACTCTACTCAACCAGACAGGGGATCCAAATTACATCAGAAGGCACAGCAAAGAATATCCTGAATTGACTTGTCCAGAAAGGCAGGAAAACTGGGGCCTGTTGATACACAACTGTTGATACACAACGGGAAGGTATACGCGGCTCCGTCACAAACCAAAAAGCACTGGGCCTGAAATTTCAAGGGCATCAGCACATGCCCCAGCGGTCGCCGCCATCGTCAGCGCCTGCTCGGTACTGCATGGGGCTGTACCGCTCATGTGTACTGTACCGCCTGCTGCGGCTGCGGCTTCGGCGGTGGTGCCGGCCCCGCCCGTCCAGCCTGGTGAGGCTCCTGCCTGCAGACCGCTCCTGCCGCCCGCGGCGCCTGCTGCGGCTGCGGCGGCGGCGCCGCAGCTGGCTGCGGCTGCTGCTCCTGCTGCGCGATCGCTGCCGCTGCTGACGCTGTCCCGCGTCGCCAGACGGGCTCCTGCTGGCGCTGCGTCCACGGTCCGGGGCTGGGGCCGGGCTGATCTGCAGCTGCTGTGGGCAGTCCAGGTGCGTGCCCGAGGCAGGGAGCAGAGGCGGCGGGGAGGGGTTCCTGCTGCTGCTGCCGCCGCTGCCGCCATCCACCTGCCCCTGGCAGCGGCTTCGCGGCACTTCGGCGTCTGCCAGCTGCGGGCGCCCCTGTCCCCGCCCCTGGCACACCACCTGCGCCGCCTCGATGCGCCTGCTGCACTCAGGCTGCTGCTGCGGCTGCTGTGCTGCACCAGAGGCCGCCACGATCACTGCTGCCGCTGCTGCAGGGCGGCCCTTGTCCCAACGAGAGGGCCGCCCGGCATCCTGCTGCTGCTGCTGCTGCTGCTGCTGCTGCTGCTGCTGCTGCTGCCGCCACACGGGCTGCCGGTGCGGCACCAGGCGCGGCACGTGCCCGCCGTGCCCCGCCGCCACGCCTCGCACAGGCCACCGCGCCTGCTGCCGCGGCTGGGCCTGCTGCGCCGCCTGCTGCGCGGCCGGCTCGTACCGCCGGTACTGCACCATGCGATCGTACGCGCTGCGGGCATAGGGCGCCGTGGCGAAGCAGCGGAGCTCGTGCCAGAAGTGGGCGCTGTGCTCATACAGAAACGGGCGCAGAGCCTCCTCGGGGCTGCTGCTCAGCGCGCCGCCGCCTCCGCCGCCCTCTCTGCCGCTGCCGCCGCCTCCGCCGCCGCCGCCGCCGCCCGCTGCAGCAACCATTTCTGCCGCGCGACGGCTGGCCCTCAGCGCCGCCTGGCGAGCCGCCACGGCGCCGCCACCGGGGTGTGCGGTGCCGGCCACACCGGGGGAGCTGCCGCTGCTGCTGCTGCCGCTGCTGTAGGGCTCGACTCCGTACGCCACCACCAGCCCCAGCACAAAGCCACGCAGGATGGTCACATCTTCGCTGCCGGTCAGCGCCCGCAGTTCCCGATCAATCCACTCTGCAGGGCAAGGGGCCGGCGGGGCTGGCCTGGGTGGCCGGCAGGCACACCTAGGCGGCTCGGGAGGCCGCTGCCTCTAGAACGAGACGAGGCACACACCAGCCGGCGATCGCATCCCAGGCAGACCAAGTCGGGAACAACAAAAACGCAAAAGGCAGCTGCTCTCTGCCTGCGCTCGCGCTTGCCTGTGAGGCGCCGCTCGCGGGCGCCGCCGCTGCCGAGTGAGATGCGGGAGGCATCAGTCCCCAGCGGCTCCGCCCACAGATCCTGCGCAGGCGGAGCAGGCACGCGGCGTCGGCGCGCCGCGCCACGCAGCGGCCAGCACAGCGGCGAGCAGCACGCAGCAGCCCCAGCACAGCGCGCCGCGGAGCAGGCGGCGAGCGGCAGGGCCAGCAGCGCCGCTGGATCCCGGTACAAGCAGGCCAGGGGCGGGGCAGGCGTGCCTCCCACACTCCCCAGGCCGCGACCCCTCACCTGATCGTACACCTGGCGCCGCCAGAGCAGCACATAATCCTCCTCGGTGACCGGCTGCGCGCCGGGTTCACCGCCCTGCAGGGCGTCCCAGCCTGCCGGCCCGCCGCCGCTGCCCTCAGGCCGGTAGGCGCCTGCCTGCAGGCGCTGCTGCAGGCGCCAGAAGTATGGGCGCGGCGCCAGCGCAGCGCCCGCCTGCTGCTGCTGCTGCTGCTGCTGGTGTGAATCCGCGGCGCCGCCGGCCCGCTGCCGCGCGCTGGCGCCGCCGGCGCTGCCGTCGCCACCGCCGCCGTAGCCGCCGCGTGCGGAGCCGGGCTGCGGCTGCACCAGGCGGCGCCCCTGCTGCTGCTGCTGTTCATACGGATCGACCAGGTCTGCCCCCCCCAGCAGGTCTTGCAGGCGCTGCAACAGGGGGCCGCCGTAAGGTGCCGCCGCGTCGTCGCTGCCAACGCTGCGCAGCTTGGGGGAGGGGGGTACGTCGCGCTCCTTGTGGGCTCCGCTGGGCAGAATGTCATAAAACACTGCGCAGGAGGAGGGAGGGTGGGCAGGTGGGTCGCCAGCAGTGGCAGGTGGGGGCGGGCGGTGTTGGGTGCGCGCGCCGCCGTCTGCGCGGCTGCTCCACGCCGCAGCGCCCGCGCACCTGAGCCCACGCGGGCCTTGCACAGCGGGCAGAGCCGCTTGCGGTCGAGCCAGAGGGAGATGCACGGGTGGCAGAAGACGTGCATGCAGGGCGCCACCACCGCCTTGTCTGCCAGCTCCACGATATCGGTCAGGCCTGCAGGCGGGCAAGCAGGCAGGCAGGAAAGCACACGTGGGCCAGAGGCAGGCGCTCACCAGGCGCGCGCGGGAGAATGAGGAAGCAGGGGCCCGGGGTGGCGCAAACAGAGTTGGGCGGCAGCGGCGGCTGGCGGCGCTCACAGATGGGGCAGGTGGGCGGCGGCTCGCAGTCCTCCACGTCACTGCCCTCGCCCTCGTCGCCGTGCTGCAGCTTGAAGCCAGTGTACGCCGGCGGGCTGGCAGCGCCGCCCGCCGCTGCTGAAACCGCTGCCGCCGAAGGCGCGGCCTGCTGCCGCTGCTTCTGCGGCTTGCTTGCTGCTGGTGCTGCTCCCGCTGCCGCATCTGGTGCTGCGTCGGTCGAGCCCTGGCGCCGCTTGTGGCCCGCGACAGGCTCCTTTGCTGGAGGCTTCTCCCTACTGGCTCGCTGGCGGCTGCCAGCAACGGCAGCAGGCATCTCAGCTTCATCTGCTGCCCCCCTGTGGCCCTTCTGCGCCGGGATGGCGGCCCAGACTCCAGACGAGGGGAGCCATACCTGCTGCACCCTCTCCCTGTCGCTGGACATTGCCAACGAGACAGCAGCACGATCCTGTTTGGAGAATTCGCCATCGACGTTCCGGCGTTTTTGTCTCGGGAGTTGGCCACCTGGACGGCGGTACGGCCTCCGACGTTTGGCGGTGTAGAGTGAACAAAGCAAAATCCGCTTGCACTCTGGAGTTGCTGTGCCAGCATATCTGCCTCTCTGAAGTCTTCGTAGGCCTGCCCGGAACGCGTGCCCACCACCACCTTGCTGCCACTGCCTGTGAGGCTCAGCAGCGGCAATGGTGGGGCATGTCTCTCTAGAAGGGACCTACAGGGACTTACCTTGGTGCTGGTCCCCATTACGGGTAGCAATCTGATTTCAGAGTTGTGCAAGAGGGCTGCAGCACATCGCCTGCACGCACGGTACTTTGCGCCTGCGCCCCTTGCCGCCAGCCAGGCGGGTGCACATGGCATATGCTCAATGGCGCGTTTCTCCCTCTTGATCAATCAGCCAATGCAACACCGTCCATTGAATTGCACTTGGCAGGCATAAAAACACAAAGCCTCTTCCACCAGCGCAGCCAGGATGGGCGCAGCCGATCCTATCAGCAAAATCGATGAAAGTCAACCGCTGTTGCAACAGGTAGGGCGGGGCAGGCGTGGGCCGCGGCGTGTTTCAAGCCCCAGTTCCACTCCTGCGGTCGCTCACCAGCCGGGGAGAACTGGCCCACCTTATACTGCCTCTCTCTCGCCTCTTGTTGCCCCGCGTTGCTGCCGCGCCGCCCCGCTGCTGGCCACCGACGCTGCCGCAGCGTCCAACCGCTGCTGCCCGTGCAGCTGGCGCGCCTGAGCCCCGCAGAGTACCAGGCCTGGCTGCTGCGTACATCCCGCGGCAAGGCCCGCTTCTTCGCCAGCGACGGCTTGGAGGCAGTCACCAAAGTCAAGTGGTACGGTTTGATCCCGCACACAGGCTGCTGCTTGTTGTTCTCGTAGTGACGTTGGTGGCAGGGCCGACAGGTGCATCGCCCTGCTGCCTGCGTGCCGCCTGCAGGTGGGTGGTGCCGCTGCTGTGGCTGCCGCTGGCAGCGGCGCTAGCTGTGCGGGCTGCTGCCACCCTGCCGCTGCACACACTGGCGGCGCTAGCGGCTGCGGGCGTCGTTTTGTGGCAGCTCATCGAGTACTCTATGCACCGCTGGGTCTTCCATGCCGCTCCCGGCGGCCCAAACACCATCGTCGCCCACTTCCTCATGCACGGGTGGGTCCTCATGCACGGGAGCCTCAGCAGCCCCAACTTTGCTGCTGCGAGGATCAGGAGCTGTGCTGCTGCTGTGCTTGCCTGCCTCGCCCGAGCTCCATCTTTGCTCCAATTCCTGTCTGCAGGAATCATCACAAGTACCCTTCCGACATCGAGCGGCTCGTGTTCCCGCCGCTGCCCGCCTGCCTGCCTGCCTCCGCCATCTACGGCACGCTACAAGCCTGCCTGCCGCAGGTATGGATCGACGCCTGCTGGTGATTGGCGCCTGTTGTGTGGGTCTCCATGGCAGCTCGTTTGACGTTCGTTCATGCCTGCGGTGCAGGCTTCCGCGGGAGCAATATTTGCAGGCGTGCTGGTCGGCTACGTAGCATACGACTGCATGCACTACCTGATGCACAGGTGAGCCAGTGCTGGGCAGGAGGTTTGCTCGCGCAGTGCCGCCTTGAGAGCCGCTCCCCCGCTTGACTTGGCAATTTTCTGGCGCACATGGCATGCAGTGGCCAGCTCAAGGGCAGGTTGAGGACACGGCACATGCACCACCATTACGCCGATGACACCACAGCGTATGGCATCAGCTCCCCGCTGTTTGACGTCATCTTTGGCACGCAGCGATAGCAGGCAGGCCGCTGCTGCGGCACACACCCAATCGTGCATCGCAAGCCCCGCTAGACGGTGTGAAATTGCATCCTGTAACACTGGTGTTTAACACGCGGCATAATTGCGGCATAATTGCAACAAGCAAGCGTTGAGTGGGGGCGGGCAGCCAGTTTGTCTTGCGCCTGCGCCCAACCTGCGCACGGCCAGCGGGGCGGGGCGGGGCGGGAGGATGTGCGCTGGGCCTGAGCCTATGCTTGCTACTCCTCAACGGCGCCATCATTTGCACTTACACCGCCGCTAGGGGCGCTATGCTGCATACGCCGACATGGAGTTGCCCACTGACCAGATCGCGGGCTGTCGGACGTTGAACAGGGCGCATCAGCTTTTGTAGAGTGCAGGCGGCCGTTCCGGGGCTCTGCAGAGCCACCCGGTGCCACGGTCACTCATGGCGCCCAAACGCCGAGCCCCGGAGCCCAGTGGCCCTGTCACGCCCAAGAAGCCGGGAGTGCAGATCGCCTATGAGCGGTCGCCGCAGGCTCCAAGGCAAGCGGCGGTGCCCCCCCCCGCGGGCGGCCGCGCAGCCGCCGCTGCCGCTCGGGCTCACGTCGGAACAGCACGAGGAGCGCTCCGCCCAGTTTAACCCTCAGTTGTTCACCCTTGCATCTCTCTAACTAATCTTGCAGGCCTGCCGCGGCGCCGCGCTCGATACACCTGCGCCGCCAGCGCCCGCGCCCGGCGGCGCCGCCGCCTGGCGAAGGCCTCATCTTCATGGCTCTGGACGTTGTGGAGGAGGCGCAGGTGGGCTGCGGCTGGCTCTTTGGAGGGCAGGGAACAGCTGATGGTGGTGCCACCTTTAGGTTCACCTTTGCCTCTTGCCTGGCTGAGGGTCTAGGGCACGGTGCTGTGCGCACGACTCCCCCTGGCCGCCTCGCCCTGCTGCAGGGCCGGTTCCACGTGTGGGGCACGACCCCCGGCGGCGCCAGCGTGCTGCTGCGCCTGCCCAACTTCCAGCCGTACTTCTACGTCGCCGCGCCCAAGGCGCAGGCGGAGGGGGCCGACCAAGATGTGGAGTGGGACCAGCATCAGCTGCAGCGGCTGCAGGCGAGGCGCCGGGCTCTGCCGCCGTATGCCGCCGAACGCCGCCAAATGCCAAATGTCGAATGCCGAATGCTACTGAATGCGATGCCAGCAGGCTCGCCGCCGATGCTTCTCGATGCCTCTCGGACATGCTGCCCCTTGGCCAGCAAGCCAGACGGCAGCGATGCTCGTGCCAGGAGCGCTGCGAGCATCGTGCCGTTGACTGACAGTGTTGGCCTTGGCGGGCTGCTCGCTGCAGGGCATGCTCAACCGCATCCTGCCGAACGACTGCCGCCTGGCCGGCATCGATGCGGTGCTGCGCACTCCCATCCTGTTCTACAGGTCAGCCGTCAGTAGGCCTGTGCCTGCCTCCTGGGTGCATCCAGAGGGCGGCAGCAAGGCCCTGTGCGGGGGCACGGGGTGTGCACCACCCACCGGCAGCAACCAGCGTGGTCGCTGGTCGCCGCATGCTGCCCCCACACCGATCCACGTCTCTCACGCTCCCTGCTGCTGCCCTATCCTCCTGTCCTTGCGTGGCCGTCGCTTGGGGGTGCAGGCCAGACCGCCCAGAGGGCGAGCCTTACCTGAAGCTCACCCTGGGAACAGGTGCCAGCGTGAAGCGCGCCTCGGCGGCGGTGCAGAAGGCCATGGTGGCAGGCCACCTGCGCCAGGAGGTGGGTGCGCTGCCGCCTGCGGTACCAGCCGCGGTACCAGCCGTGGTACCGGCTCCCCCCTGGCCCGGCTGGATCGGCTCGGATGGTGCATTGCCTGCTTGCTCCGGCAGCTTGCAGGGATGGCAGCTGCGCCTTTGAGGGCAGCGCCGCAGTGGAACGCCGGGGGCAAGCGCCCTACCACCAAACACACGCCGCCGCCGCCGCTGCCGCCGCCACCCCACCCGCATGCGTCACCGCTGCCACCCCTGCAGGGCCTTGTGTGGCGGGACATGACGCTGTATGAGGCGGAGGTGGCGCCGCTGCAGCGCCTCCTGGTGGACGTGCCCGTCAGCGGCGGCGCCTGGCTGTACGTGCCGCCGCCAGCGGACGCGCAGCCCGGCGGCGCTACCGGCGGCAGCCTGCATGCTGCCGGGGCGGCGGCGACGCAGCAGCGCGGCGGCAGCGCCGCGGGCTGGCGTGGAGTGGAGGGTGGGGAGCGCGTCAGCAGCTGCGACATCGAGGTGGTGGCACCCTGGCAGGCAGTGTGCTGCCTGACGCCTGATGCCACTCAGCTGGCAGACCCCGCCTGGAGCCCCTTCCCCGGCGGCGGCAGCGGCGGCGGCGGTCCAGCGGGCCCAGCGGAGCAGCCGGAGGAGGTGCAGGCGGCGGCGGCGGCGGCCAAGCGCGGAGACATCGCCGGGCTGCGCATGATGCTGCTCGATGTGCTGTCGGCCACTGCTGATGGCTCAGACAGGTGTGCCTGGCACCCTTTGGCGCTGCCTGTGCCTGGTTTGGCGCTGGGGGGGAGCGCTGCTGTTGTGCTGACGAGGCGTTGTGACACTGTAGTGGGCGCCTTGGCAGCGCTGCTCCTTGTCACAGCACAGCACCAGGTGACTGCGGTGCTCATGGCGCCTGCCTGCCTGCCTGCCTGCTGCTGCCTGGCCCCGCAGGGTGGCGGTGGCCTCCCAGGGCGACCCGGTGGTAGCAATCACCTGCACTTTCTTCCACTTTGCCGCGCGGGGGCATGCCGAGGGCCCCACAGCGCCTGCCCAGGGGGAGCAGCCGGCGCAGGAGGGCGGGGTAGCGACAGGAGACGCTAGCGTGGCGGCGTTTGGAGATGGCGGCGGCAGCGGGGAGGGCGACGATGAGGAGGAGGCGGCGGTGGTGGCCTCTCTGGCGGCGGTAGCGGGAGCCCCCACAGGCGTCGGCAGCCGCCGACCGCCGGCGGTCACCCCGCCGGCGGCCCCAGCCGCAGCAGCGGAGCAGCCAGAGACGCTGGTGTTCCTGCTGCACCCCGCGGCGGCGGCGCAGCGCCAAGAGGCTGCTGAGCGGAGCGTGGGCTCCCCGCACGGCGACGGCGCCGCGCGGGTGCTGCTGTTTGGCTCGGAGGAAGCGCTGCTGGTCAGCTGGGCGCAGTGCGTGCGGCAGGCAGACCCGGATGTGCTGGCGCTATTTGAGGCTAGCCACTCCCGCTGCTGCTGCTGCCATGGCTGCTCCTGCTGCTGCTCCCATTGGTGCTGCTGCTGCCGCGACTGCTCCTGGTGCTGCTCCCACCTGGTGCTGCTGTCACCCGTACACACACACACGCAGCACACACACGCATACACTCCCTGGCCGCAGGTGAATGACACGCTGGCGGTGCTGAAGGACCGGTTTGCGGCGCTGCGCCTGGAGGGCGGCAACCTGCAGGCGGGTGGAGCCCCTGCCTGCACTGTACTTCACTGTACTGCACTGTACTGCACAATACTGCACCGTAGTGCACTGTGCTATCCCATCGTGTGCTGCCTGCACGCTGAGTCGGCAGCATGCGCCGCCAGAGGCGCCCTCGCCAGCCTGCTGGCAGCCCTTGCCCGCACCTGGGCCTGGTCTGCCGGCCAGCTGAGGGCCCTGCCAAGCCCACCCTGCCAGCCCCACCTGCTGCCCACCCTCCCGGCCCGGCCGTGCAGCTGTCGCGGCTGCTGCCGCGCGCCGCCAAGCCGCTGGCGATCCGCAAGATCACCATGTACAGCGCGCAGTGGGTGAGGAGCCAGAGCCGCATGAACAGCAACAGCAACCAGGAGACGTTCAGGTGGGCCGAGGGGCGGGGCGGCAGGGTGACGAAGATGAGAAGGGAGTGCTGTGCCGGCAAAGGCACATGAAGGTCGTCGCAGCCGTCCACAGCCTCCGGCCCGCGCACCGGCTTGTTTTGTTCTGCTGGCTGCACCAACAGGGGGTCACCCCTGCGCCTAAGACGCTCCTCACCGACACAGCGGCGTTGTTCCCTCCTCCATCATCTTTGCAGGGCGGACATCGACGGCCGCATGGTGGTGGATGTGCTGCGCCAGGCGCTCACCTCCCAGACCCTCACCTCCTTCTCCCTCGTCGACTGCGTGCAGAGCCTGCTGGGGCAGACGATTGAGGTGCGGGGGCCTGGGGGGCTGCCGTTGGGTGCCGCACGTGCTGGCTCTTGACACTACTGGCGTGTCCTGCGTCCGCTTCGTCTAATACTACTCGTTCTTTTGCTCCGACTAAGAGTGCACCCTCCCATCCTCCCGTCACCTGCCGCCCCGCAGGTGCTGAGCCCCGCCCGCCTGGCGGGGCTGGCCGGCCTGGCGGGCCCGCCGCCCCACCCGCTGCACCACGGGCGCCTGGCTCCCGCGGCTGCCGCCGCGGCGGATGCGGCGCGGGTGGCTCGCTACGCCCTGCGCCGCTGCGACGCGGTGGGCAGCCTGCTGCACCGCCTGGCCACGCTGCAAGAGATGGTGGAGTTGGCGAGGGCCACAGGGCTCACTCTGCAGCAGGTGGGTGCCAAAGGCAGAGGGCTGGGGCTGCGGGGAGACGGGGAGGCACCGCCGCGCCGGGCCCAGCCACGCGCGCAGCATGCCGCTCCCTGCTCCCGCCGCGGGCCCACGGCCATGCATGCGCTGCCCGTGCGTGGGGTGTGGTCGGCTGCAGGCGGTTTACAATGCACAGATGGTCCGCACAAACAGCCTGCTGCTGCGGACGGCGCGGCGGCAGCGTTTCCTCGTGCCCGGGCGGCAGGAGTCGCAGAGCCTGCAGGAGCACACCTTCATCATGCACCCCGTGGACGCGGGTGCGCTGCGCTGAGGCTGCTGCCCCTGATTCCGCTGCCTCCCCTGCCGCCGCCGCCGCACCTCCCCGCCATGCCTGCCGCTGCCAGGTGTCATACCAGGCACAGATAGTGCGGTCCTGGAGCCTGGTACTGCGCACCGCCGCACGCCACCGGCCCGGCCTGGTGGTGGGCGGGCGGGAGAACCCGATGGCGCTGTCGGAGAGCCCCTTCCTGCTGCACCCTGTCGAGCACGGTGGCCCCTGCGCTGAATCGGCATCGCATGCCTGCCGCCGCCCGCTGCTGCATCGTCGCTGGCTGCTGCAAGCTGCGGATGCCTGCTGCGGGACAACACAGATTTTATCTGGCTGCCCTCCAGCAGCTCTGCAGCCCTCACCCGGCTTCCGCTCACCCCAGCTGCGCCCCCGCCCTGGCCGTGGCTGTGTCGTACCGCTTGTACCGCAGGCACGGTGGGGCTGTACCGCCAGCCGGTCGCCATCCTGGACTTTGCCTCGCTCTACCCCTCCATCTACCGAGCGCACAACCTGTGCTACTCAACCCTGGTCCACAAGGACGATGTGGGTCGCCTGCCGCCCGAGGAGCTTACCATCACACCCACAGGCAGGCTGGCGAGGCGGTGGGGAGCCGCTATTTGTTCGGGTCAGCGGGACACGGGCGTGCAGGAGGGTGGCAGCAGCTCCTCTGTCTCTGGGCGTGGAGGCGGAGGCGGATTCAAAGCCTTCAAAAGAATGTCACAATGTAGCGGCACAGCGACAGCCTTCTGGCGGTTGTGTCCACATGCACACAGCCCCGGTGGCCCTTACTGGTACCACCGCTTCCTGCACCACCTGCTGCTGCAGGCGCGGCCTTCGTCAAGCCCTCTGTGCGCCAGGGCATCCTGCCGGGCATACTGGCAGCGCTCATCGTGGCCCGAGGGTGAGCAAGCGCCAGCTGCAGTCAGCGTGGACCTTGGATCACCTGCCCTGCATGCCGCTGTGCTGGCCTCCTGGCACGGAGCTCCCCGTGGTATCCTGCCAGCCAGCTGGATTCTGGCTGCGTTCTCACCTGCCACTGAAGCCAACCGCTCGGCACCGACCGGGGCAGCTGGCCGCTACCCACCCACACCTGCCGCCCGCCTGCAGCGCCACCCGCGAGCTCCTCAAGGCCGCCTCCGACCCTGCCGCCCGCGCGGTGCTGGACAGCCGCCAGAAGGCCCTCAAAGTGACGGCCAACGCTCTGTACGGCTTCACCGGCGCGGGCGCCTCGCCGCTGCAGTGCATCCAGCTGGCAGACAGCTGCCTGGCTTACGGCGCGCAGAGCTGCAGGTGGGAGGGGTGGCGGACATGCCGGCCTTTGTATCGGCCGCCACCCCTCGCACCTCCTGGACCTCCGGACAGCAGCAGCCGCTGGCACCGGCCCAATGGCTGGCTGCTCATGCGCACGCCTCGTCCTGCTGTCCTCCCTCGCTCTGCAGGCGGGCCAAGGAGGTGCTGGAGGCGGCGGCAGGCGGCGGGGAGCTGGCACCCTACGGCAGCGGCGCGAGGGTCATCTACGGCCACACCGACAGCCTGTTTGTGCTGCTGCCAGAGGTGGGTCGGTGCCGAGGCGCTCCCGAGGGGCAGGCTGCCACTGGCCCTGCTGCGTCTGCTGTGGTCACTGTACCAGGGCGGAACCCGCCTGCAAGGAGCCACCTGGTTGGCGCACGCACTGAAACACCATGCGCCTGCTTGCTGCTGCTGGCTGCCCTCCCCACCCGCGTCCTGCCTCACCATTGCACAAAGTAATTATATAAGTAGGTTAAAGTAAACTCTGCCCGGCCCTGCCCGGCCGCTCGGGCCCCCTCTTGCAGGCGGCAGATGCGAAGCAGGCGATCGCGGCGGGCAGGCTGGCATCCCGTGTGGTCAGCGCCGCCTTCCCAGATCCGATGGACCTCAAGTTTGAGCGGGTGTGCCTCCCCTTCCTGCTGCTGCACGTCAACAGGTGGGTTCGAGGTGGAGCTGTGTTGTGGGGACGTCTGTGTGTGGATGTGGGGAATGTAGGGGTTCCTGGCAAGTGTGCTGTGCAGGTTGTCTCCATCCACTGGTGGTGGGCGGCCTGGCCTCGGGGAGTGTGTAGCCGCAGTGCTGCCAGGCACCTGCCGGTGTCTGACTGAAGCCTCTGCTCTGCTGCACCTGGGCAGGTATGCGGGGCGGGCATTTGAGCGGGACGAGGATGTGGGGCGTGGCGGGGAGCTGATCTGCAAGGGAGTGAAGAGCATGTGGCGGCAGGTAGGGGGAGGGTGGGATCCAGGATTCTGTTTGTAGATGGCGCGGGCAGGGTTTGCAATGGTCGGCAGCTCTGGCTCGCTCTGGGGCGGCACAAGGCAGTGCCGTGCCAAGGTGCGCCCGTGCCGCTTGAATCTCCCAACTGTGCTGCCCACGGGATGCGCTTCTGCCGCGCCCTACCGCTGCAGACCGCCCCCATCCTGCGCACCACGCTGCACGGCGCGCTGGTCCGGATCCTGATGCAGGACGATGTGCGGTGAGTGAGCGCCTGGTGTGCCCAGCGCCCGGCGCCCCTGCCCGCACCTTTCTTCGTGGAACTGCCTGGCTGCCGCAGGCTGCTGCACCCACCTATTTAACAGTGTTTGTATCGATGTATGCCCCAACCTACGAATCGGTCAGAACCGCCCGTCAGCCGGATCGACTGCCTGCCCTGCCTGCCGCAGCGGCGCCCTGGAGTTTGTGTGCGGCCAGGTGCGGCGGCTGCTGAGCGGGCAGGTGGAGCTAAGTGAGCTGGTGATGACGGGCGGGCTGTGGCGGGTGACCGGGCAGCAGGTGGAGAATGCGGCGGCGGCGGCGGGGGAGGGGGGGCCCAGCCCAGAGGACGTCAAGGTGAGAGCGGGCTGAGCTTGGTGTGGTCGCGGCAGCAGTGGTGCTGGTCTGTGTGTGTGTGTGTGTGTGAGAGAGAAGAGCTTTGCGGAAGAACCCGCTTTGCAAGCAGGCCAGCCCATGCACCTCCTCGCTGCTGCTGCCTGGCGTGCCCGCTCGTCTCCCCCCGCCTGCAGGGCCCCCACGCCTCGCTGGCGGTGCGGCTGAGCCAGCGCGACCCGGGCCGCGCCTTTGTGCTGGTGAGCTCATGCGTGTCAAGGCTCCTCGGCTGGTCACCGCCCCCCCAGCCTGCCCAGCAGGCGCCTGAACCTGTGCATTCGTGCATCGGTGCGGTGGGTGCACCCATGCCTGCAGGGCCAGCGGCTGCCGTATGTGCTGCTGGCTGGGGAGCGGCTGCAGGAGGATGCTGCTGAGGACCCACTGACTGCCGCCAAGGCAAGCGCCCTGGGTCTGGGGCTGCTGCTCGAGCACCGGCATCCCGCAGACCTTGTGTGCCTCCAGCGGGCAGCGGGGGGTGGCCCAGCCCTCTCGCACGCTCCGATGCGTTCTCTGCAGCGCCTCCTGACGCCCAGCTGTGGCTGTCGGGGGTGTTTGTGTGCAGGCGGGGCAGGAGGGCGACTATGGGCTGTACTGGCAAAAGAAGCTGCTGACTCCGCTGGTAGAGGTGTTCCAGGCCAGCGTACCGCCCGGCCAGCGGGAGGCTGTACTGCATGAGCTCAAGGGAGGGGAGCATAGCCGCGTGCGGGTGGATGCAGCCCTCAGCCCGCCGCCGCCCGCGCTGGGGCCCGCCAGCCCGCCACCGCGGGCGCGCGGCGGCACCAACGGCAGAGGTGAGGCGCCAGGGCTGCGCGCGGTGCGCCAGGGCTGCTACTAATCCTGCAGCCCTCCGTTGCCTACCTGTTCCTTCCAACAGAAACAGGCCCTCGGAGGTCCAGCGGTGCGGAGGCCGCGCTGGCCGATACCTCACCTCACCCCCCCCGCTTTCCTGCACCCTTTCCTCTGCACCTTGCAGGCCCAGCAGGCGCCCCCCGCCAATCTCAGATGGCCCGATTCTTCCAGCCCATCCCCAAGTGCCTGGGCTGCAAGGCGGGCATGCCCGGGTTCAAAGGCCCACTGGACGACGCGCGGGACTGTGCGACAGCTGCGCCGGGTGAGCTGGCGCTGGCTGAGCTGGCAGCGGCGCCCTGCTGCTCGGCCGCCGACAGCCTCCCCTGAAACATGCTGCCACCGTTCTCCGCGTGCCGGCCCTGCCAAATTCCTCCACCCCTTCCCTGTCGCCCCCACCCCTGCAGCAAGGAGGGCAAGTGGGAGGAGACATACCTAGGGCTGCTGGGAGAGCAGGCCGGGGTGGAGGCCCGCCAGTGCAGCGCGTACGCCACCTGCCGCGGCTGCCACAGCGGCGGCGCCCTCGAGCCCGTGCTGTGCGACAACGGAGAGTGCCCCGTCACGTATAGCCGCCTGGCCTGCAGCAGCCGGCTGCAGCAGCTGGACGCTCAGCTGCGCCGCCTGGACATCTTCTGAGCGGGGCGCTGTTTGTCAAGGGCTTTCTCAAAAGCACATACACTGGCCCAACCAATACACTGTCTGAAAGATAGAATGATGATGATGGGCGCTCGGTACATGCGGCGCTCGTACCCTTTTACTTTGATTTCGGTTCCTTTCGTTTTCTGGAGGTTCTGCTTGCATTGCAATGTTATGTTGCTGCTCTGGGCATGTGCCCACATTGTTTGTGTAATAAAACGTTATGCTTGCTCTGAAATCGAATCACACTGCCACGACGGTTGCACGCCCCTGGCCTAGCCTGGCGGCAGGTGCCCCCTCACTGCTGGTGCGGCTGCGGCTGGCCAGGCTGGTTGAACCAGCGCATGGCGGCATCCAGGTAGCGGCGCAGGCTAGGCACAGCGGCCAGCAGCGGCTGGACGCGGGCGTTGATGACGGACCAGGTCTGCAGGCGGCAGCGGAGGGGTAAGGTGGCGGACAGGATCAGCAGCAGGCAGGGAGCACGTCATGCTGGGAACGCTGAGAGGGCAATCGCAGGCAGGGCCCAGGCGGCAGCCTTGGACAGACGGGCGGCACCCGTTGACAGGCGGCCGGGCACGCGGGCGACGCAAGGCGTCGGCTGGCGGGGTGGCTCACCCGCTGGTGGTAGGGGCGAGACTCGGGGGCAAACAGGCGGACCCGCAGGTTGGACCAGTAGACTGCAGGCCAGGCAGGGACAGAACAATACAACACAAACGTGAATGTGGTGTATCGAGAGACTGTGCCGGGCTCTTGGACAACCGATGCTCCTACCGCAGGCGCAACTGCAGAGAGCAGACGCCCCGGCAACGGCGCCCCGAGCCCTGCCCCTTCGCGGGCCCCCCAGGGCGACCCTGCCCTGCCCGCCGCCCTCCCTCACCATAGGCCAGCATGGCGCCCTGCAGGCCGCGCTGCGGCACCGCCAGCAGCAGCTGGAAGGCCATGGCGACCTCGGCGGTGGCCACCAGCTGGCTCACGCGCGCCTGCAGGGTGCGCGGGGTGAGGGCGCGAGCAAGGGTGAGTGAGCAAGTGCATGGATGGCAGCAGCTCAAGCCCTTGGCCCGCTCTGTTGTGAGGCTGGAGTGAGCAGCAAACAGCATCGCCGACCTCCTCCCTGCTGGCACCGCCGCCGCCCGCCGCCGCCCGCCGCCGCCGCACCCTGTTTCCCTCCAGCAGCGCCTGCGCGCGGCCGCCGTAGCGGTGCCACAGCGGGTGGCCGCCGAAGCGCGCGCCCAGCGCCGCCAGCAGCGGGTATGCGGCCTGCGCCGCCAGCGGCACGATGCCCATCCACAGCTGGGGCACTTGCAGCATGATGGTGGACACCAGGATGTGCCAGAGCTCGGTGGAGGCGGCCGCCTGGCGGCTCCACAGCGTGAAGGCGGCGGGGAAGGGGCGCAGCGTGGGCAGGCCGTAGCGCAGGTAGATCTGCAGGGGTGGTGGTGGGGTGTGTGGTGTGTGGGAGGGGGGAGAAAGACAG